TAGGGTTGCACGATTATGACAAAAATCATAATTGTCGATTATTCCCTTGAAATTGTAATTGCGATTATTAATTACGATTATCACAATTTACATTGAATGATGTGTATACCATTGTTTGAAGCAACCAATGAAAATAAACAAGCTGAAAAACTTTTATTGCTTTTCTATAGCATTAAGTCTCAAATGTTATGTTATATTAAAACTAGAATTAAAACAGTGGAAAAACCCTTAAGATTACCTATAGAAAGAAAAAAAACACATCTTAAGCACACAGAATAACATAAGTGGACTTTGAACGATTAATTGCCGCTTTGAACGATTACGTAATTGTGGCATCCGTAATTGTAATTGCGATTAGAAATTCGATTAATTGTGCAGCCCTAGCTGAACTTTTTTAACTTGAGTGCCGTGTTTTTAGAACATTGTTGCATGCACAATACGCTGCACAAGACAAAAGTGCAATGGTCAAACCCATCCGTCTTGTGCATGTTTACATAGAAAAACAATGGAAAAGCGTCGCAGTGAAGTTGAAGAACGTGTTCTGTGTGAACAGCTCCTAACAGTCTAGCATAGTGCCAACTGGTAAACCAAATAGCACAATAATGCACTATTTGTTTTTTAATCAGGAGTTACAAACGGCCACCAGTGGGCAGAGGATTCAGTGCAGGATTTTAATTGTTGCTGATTAGATGGCAGAAATGGCTTTTACCATGTTGTCACACCTAGCTTGATCATGGTGTCAGATTGGCATGAATTACATTAATTAATCCAACTGCTACTTCCGAATTATTTTTAAATGTCTGATTTTGTCCCCCTTAATGCTGTTAACTGAAATTCCTCTGTGGATGAAATATTCCGAAATGTTCAAAACAAATAGGTTATATATATAACACTTAAATATGAAGTGAATTTGGGTCTGGGACCATCTACACGATACTAATAGGTTCTGCTCTGGAACCCACACAATAAATTAGCGAATGACAGATCACATTTCATAACTGGCACATCACAAGCAGTTGAGCAGCAGCTGTTGCTCCCTTTTTACTAGAATACACAATGTGGCTACATGCTTCTCCTGCCTTTCATTGGCTATCATTAACCTCAGTGCCATTCATAAGACCAGAGGCTGAGCAGGTTATTTACTTCATTAGTATGTTCATACTACCAAACAGGAAGTCAGATAGTGCCAGCTGAACAGGTTTGGCAGTCAATAACAAGTTTGACTTAGTCTGTGTCTTTTCCTAGTCCAAAATTATTTTATAGTCACCATTGACTGTATGTACAAAGTCCCAATAGTCAAGACATAAGAGTCCACAGTGGCATTCAGTGGTCCAGGTCATTCTCGTTCTTCACAGTGGAGAAAATGAGGCCTTCGATGTTCTCCAGATCTGCTGGATAGGCCTGATTCTCATTCACCATCTGACTGAAGTGCACGTCATTTATAGACGACATGTTCATCATAGGTTGATTGACGTTCAATTTCGTATCTGCGCCATCTAAACCAAAGTTGAGATTGCCAGGAAAAAACAACTGATTAAGAAGCTGGTCTGAACCGTGCTGGGATTGGTCTGGTCTGAAGCTGGCAAGGCATTGGGAAATGCCTTGGAGGACAGTATTTAAAGTGTCTGGGTCCAGGCTAACACAACCGTCCTCTTGTTTGAAGTCTTCATTATAATGAATTTCCTCCATAACCTGGGATGGCATGTGATTGCCTCCATCCATAACAGGGACTGCCATGGAAGCATTGGGAACGTTACAATCGGGAGGGGTGTAGAATTGGTTGTCAAAATGCTGTGGCATGGTGAGTTCGTTCACAATGTCTTGATCTGAAAGAGGAGGGAAATAAAACAGTGATGTAGTCAACAAAGTTTGATAGAATATTAAGGTGTCTTTTACAAACATCCTTACCTTGAGGAACGCTGCATGGCTCGCTGAACTTCACATCAGATTTCATTTTCCTCTTGCGGTTCACTCCGTAGGGATCTGCAGATCAAAAGTGCAAATCAGATTAACCTTCCTTCCGTGTTATAGGGTGACAGAAGCATGTGATGGGGCTGACTAAAATGGCACTGATTGTAACAGAATCGTTTGTGTTCTGTAGACAACAGAAGGCCTATTATGAAGTATTACAGTTTCCTCATGCATACTTTCAGTTTAAACTATTATAATGCTGCTATTTATAATGAAAAACTGACATGGTGACACACCCTCTTTTTACAATATTTTAGAAACTAGCAAGAGAAAAGCGGATTCATTTCTGGGATGTGAGGCGTTTTGCTTACTGGTCTTCTTTTGTATGCTATTACTTTTAAACACAAGAAACCTGGAAGCGCCACATAACTAACATTTTTAGGACCATTACACCTTAAGAAAATTTTACTTGAGAAAAAAATGACACACTACCATTCTAAACATTTGTATTTATTTATTTATTTACAAAGAACTGAAGACTTTTATTCAGGAAGGATGCACTAAGTGGATTATAAATGACGATAAAGAATCAAGACTTTTAGATTTCCATTTCAAATAAATGCTGTTCTTTTGAACTTTGTTTCTTTAAAGAATCCTGGAATAAATGTATCACGGTCTCCACACAAATATTAAGCAGCACAACTGTTTTCAACATAAAAAAAAAAAAAAATGTTTTGTGAGCAGCAAATCAAGCATATTGTAATATGATTTCTGAAGGATCACATGACACTGAAGACTGAAGTAATGATGCTGAAAATTCAACTTTGCATCACAGGAATAAATGACATTTTAAAATATATTAAAATAGTGTTATTTATATTATAATAATATGTTTTACTGTATTTTTGATCAAATCAATGCAGCCTTGGTGGGCATGAGAGACTTCTTTCAAAACTCTGACACCAACATTTTTGAATGGATGGATATATATACATTGTAAAGTATTTATACATTGTGGTAGAATCTGTTATACTTTTTTAAATGTGCTTATTTTAATAATTTAATATTTAAACAGTATAATCCTTTCATCTATCCATTCTCCAAACTGCCTATCCCCAGTAGGATCATGTGGATGCTGGAGCCTATCCCAGCATCTATAACAGTGTAATATTTTATTCATTTAAAATGAATAATATTCTTATCTTTTGATTTTAGGGTGAAATATACCCCAGCTATTCCCTCACCTTATGTTATCTATTAATCTTGTCTTTATATGGCATCTGATAACTCACCTGCGTTGTCTGGAACATAGGTGAACATGACTGGCTCGCTGTCCATCCGGTCAGACATGCGGCGTAGACACACGCTGACCTCCACCTCCTCGGTTACATTCTGCTCCCTGAAGGGTGGGGACTTGAAGACGATGGCGATTTGTCGATGGACATCAGTCTGAGCAAACTCCGCCTTGGCCTCCCAGTCGTCCTTGCTGAAGATTATCTCAATGTCATCTATGGAGGTTTCCAGATACACAAATGAGTTACTTCAGCCCAACTGTGTTGGCAAAATGAGATGCTGTGAATTAAATATGACACTTTCAAAGTCCAGTTACCTTTCTGCACTTTGTCACAGAGCATGTAAATTTCAGTCTTTCCTGTGCAGGGGCCTCTGACAACATTAAGCCGATTGATCTTCAGCTCTGCTGTTGTGGTCGCCTCTAACCGAACAAATAGAAACAATCCAAACATCATCTACCAGGAAACTACAGAGACTTTGTGTACTTGAGTAGAGTATGTTTCTGGCCCAACATATATCTTGCTCTTACTCTTGTCATAAATGGGATTGGAAACTACAGGGGCGAGGGGGATTCTGTCTCCATCCTTTCGTTCCAGCTCACACTGGAAACACAGTCTCACCACGTTCATGTCCATGTCCTCAATGCTCTTAGAGTGGCCCGCTGGTGGAGAACAAGACAAAAACATTCAACAAATGCTCATACTCTGCTACAGTGGACGAGTATTATTAGAACCTGCTACAAAACCTAATGGGCCGCCTATGGAGGAATCATAGGTATTCGGAGAATTCGGAATAGAGCCATTCAGTCTGCAATATCATTCAACAACTCACTGTTAAACGGATCAATATTCTTATTCCTCCTCTTCTCCAGTGAGGCATCAAGTTCCTTCCTCCGCACACACTGGATGCCCAGATTCGCAAAGCTGGAAAACACAAACATACTCAGGCAGGAAATAACATTTCTACTCTCTGATCATGTTCTGCTGACCATACTGTCCCATATCGCCCAAAACATTGACGTTAACAGAAATATACCTGTGTCGACGAGCGCTGTGGGGATTGATGTGGATGACGCAGATGCCATCTGTACAGTCTTTCCCGACCAAGCAGTGTGGATGTGGGCGGTACGGGATGTCCTTTGTCACAAGAGACACGGTGACTATCACTTTCTTGATATTATCAATGAGGCCTTGAATCTAAAACAGGTGAAAAGATAAAATACAGTTTTACTTTTGCTTTCGTAACACTGCTGAAATCGGTTCTTTGTGGTTGCATTGTTGGCACAGGCTCTTGTGTTGAAAGTACCCATTTATGGCCATTTCACAATGGCAAAAATGACTGGTGAGCATGTTTGTTTGTGTGGTTTAAAGGTAATTCCCTCCGCCAGAGCCCACGCGTCGCACACCTCCCCAGGGAACTTTCATTTTTAACTGCAATTAAAAGTTTAACTTGATGGGGGGATGCCCCACTGTTCAGGGATAGTCGGTGAATTCCAGACACGCCCACTGAATCAACTAAGGAGTGCAAATCAATTTCTAATTCATGTAAATGGAAAAATATGAACACACAATGGAAATGAAATGAGAGTTTCACAAGGCCTAACTGATGATAACATTTTTTTAACCCTATATAGCCTACTGTTTTATACGCTGATTTCTATGGCCTCTAAATCAGACACATGATCAAAACTTTAATGAAAACAAATTGATTGATAGTTTATACTTTTTTAGCAAGTAAAAGGCCTTTTAGTATAATTCCAAAAATGTCCAGCTTCAGGTCATGGTAAACATGTCTTCTTGTTGTGAAGTCTTTACAGATTTTTATAAAGTAAAATAAATGTAAGAATAAATGTTATATTGTTAGTAATATTTTAGGATGAACATTTACTGGACTGAAGAAACTTAGGTTTACTTGATTATGCATGCATCCTTTTTAGAAAAATCATGTAAAAATGTGGGCATCAAACATAATACATCAGGCTTTTGAGGAGCACTTATTTGTCCATCTCTCAGTCATCACTGTGCATTGCATTTTATGTTTCGCCCCCACAATAAAAACTACAGAGCTTTGATCATAAAACTGAGAGATATGGAGTAACAACTGATAATTATGCATTTTTATGTCAGTGTATGTTATACTTATAAAGGTCTCATTGATTTCCCATCAGAACATATGAATATCAGCAGCTGCACCAAATTGCATATTTTTGCTCAGTTTGGGCCTCTGAATAAAACTGGGGTTTTGTTCTCCTCTAGTATGAGCTCCATTTTCTCCTATATCATACTATATGAGCCATAAAAGCCTGATATATCAAGTATGATACTCAACAAGAAAACACATAACTATTTTTTAGACTTAATTTTTTTCAATAAACATTCCATTTTAAAAAGGTAGAGTTTTCAGACTGTTATTTCATATGTCAGGCTTTAGAGGGTTACATTATTTAACTCCTAAAAATACAGTTGTTGACTCATTCATTAGCATCCATCCAAAACCTTCTTCCTCTGACTCACTTCAATGGCAGGCAGCGTCTTGCTGGAGTCAGTGCTGGAGGCTCCAAGTATGCTGCCCGCGGATCGTCCCTCGCACTCATAGCGAAATCGCATGCCGCGCTCCTTCGGCTGCTCCACCACCACCAGCTTTGGCTTTTCCAGGAAGCGCTCCAGATATTCTGTTCCAGTCTGCTGAGGATGAAGTCTCTGGGGAGCTACAGATGACTGTCCACGTCGCTGAGATGCCACTTTTTGGCCTCGCATGGAATGCATTGGTGCCATACCATCAGTGTGCGCCGTTGGGGTCTGGTCAACGATGTATGGGTTCTGTGAAAAGAGAGATGCAAGCTAAATTTTAAAATATGAAGAAAATGAATGGTGCTTATCTGTAGAAAAGTTCATTGGTATACAGTTGCAAATGTTTCTGAATCACTTTTAGCAAGTGCTATACAGTATTTATAGTGTCCTGAAGGTTGCCAGGGTGTTGCTAAAGTGTTTTGACAGATTTTTAGCACTTCCATGGTTCCATTGCATGGTTGCCAAGGTGGTGCTATGTGGTTACTACAATGTTTTGAAAGGTCACCAGTATGCTGCTATATGGCTATAGTGTTCTGCATAGTTTTTAATCCCGTCACTATGGTGTTACTAGGATTTTCCGGGTGGTTGCCAGGGTGTTTCTATGCAGTTACTAAGGTGTTTGGAGTGGTTTAAGCACCTGCTACAAGGGTGGTTGCTAATGTGTTCTAAAGAGTTTTTAACAGATAGTTCACACCAAGAAAAATAACAAAGATGACTGTAACAATAACTTTATTAGTGTCCAAATCAACACACGATTACATAACTTATCGTAAGCATGTGCTGCCGCTTTGTTGTATGCCACTTTAAATGATGTAGCTCTTTAAAGTCGGGTGAAATTTTAATTCATTGTTGTTATTGTTTATCAGCTGGGGAAAAAAAAAAGTGATTCCAAAAAGTGATTCCAACGATATAATTCCTCTGCGTCATTATTGGTATAGATATCATTATTGTTATAGAATGAATATTAAAACTTTGGTGTGGCTTTAACAGTTGGATTTTCAGATAACAAATAAATGAACAAACAATTGAATAGAGCAAGAGACAAAATATTTAAACAAAAAGATAAAGCTCTGCCAAAAGGGTTTACATGTTTAAGTTAAAAAAATAAATGGCGTGCCAGTCACTGAATAATTTATTTTCAAACCCCCACATAATAAATCAGCAACACAAAGCGTTCAGAAAACCACATTAGCTTGTTTTATTACTACGCTGGAATCACACGTTCCCTCTCTTGACTTTCCAATATTTTAAATCATTAATGGAAAGACAAACAATTCACCTTCAGCTCACTATCTGCATTTAAAAATCTAAGCCACCACAAAAAAAAAAAAACAGCAAGAGAGAAAGAGAAAGTGAGTGAGTGGAAAAAGAGAGAGAAAGAGAGTGAGTCACAGTCTGTTTGACACATGCAGATATTGAACACAAAATCAGCACAATTATAATAACAGAGGAATAAAAAGTATCAGAATGATGAATTTTTGAGAAGACAACAGACAAACACCAAGTCTCTGGACATGCCTGAGGATGGACTCAGATCGCTTACACAAAGAGCCGCTGAGAAGAGCCAGAAGAAGCATGGTGAAGAAACAGGAAGCTCACATAGCTGGGCGATAAACCAGCCAATGAGAAAGTGAGAAGCAGAAGGGAGGGTATGTGCCTGACTCTCTTTTGTATGGGGGAGAGAAGCATGAGCGGAGAGAACGCTAACTAAAAGTAGGCATCGAATTACAATCACCCTTCTGGGAGTAAAAAAGCTTGATGTCATGAATAACAAGTTTCGATATCTACCAAAAAACACAAGACATTTTGTATAGTGAGCTAATACCATCAATATGCCACAGAATTTGAGGCATCATTCGTGTCCATAGCACAAACAATGCAGGATGAGTTACGCACCAAATTCAGTTGTTAGTGTTAAAGAGAGTTCACCCAAAAATTTAAATTCTATCATCATGTCATTCTAAACCTTATGACTTTCTGGAACACAAAAGAAGATATTTTGAAAATTGTCTCTGCGTGTGGAAGTCAATGGTCATCAGGTTACCAACATTCTTCAATATATTCTTTTATGTTCCACAGAAGGGTTTGGAACGACATGACGGCGAGTAAATGATGATAGAATCTTCATCTTTGGGTGAACTATCCTTTTAAGGGTTTCAGTAAAGTATGTACAATAATAATAGTAATGCCTGCTTTAGCAACTGATACAACAACTGCTATTTTGGTTCAATGTAGTGTAACAGCAGAAAGACTCACATGTGGAGCTGCTCCTCTGGAGACCAACACCGGTGTGCTTCGCCTGCCTCTAGACGGCGGATCAACTGGCTGGATGTCCTGGTCCACAGGTGGAGGAGGAGGACCAGGGAGCGTTACGGACAGTTCTTTGATCGTTTTCTCCGTAAGGTACTCATCTATAATATCTGAGGGACAGTTTTAATCAATATAAACAAGAGATCTAGTTAAAGACATCACTTACCAATACATTTTCCCCATGTAACACAAAAGCAGATGTTAGGCAGAATGACACTATTGTGTACTTTCACTGCATGGAAAAATATGGTGACTGGGGCCACTGGGCTGAATAACATCTCCTTTTGTGTTCCATGGAAAGTCACTGGGCTGGAGGGCATAAAGGTGACTAAATAATGAC